TGTTGGAATGAAAAAAGTCAAGCCAGCCAGGAAGTCTGAGAGTTTCACACACTGGGCGTTTACACACAGTCACCACCAGTCATCACCACTACCATCAGTTCAAACTACAGAGAGGACGTTGCAGATGATGCTAAAACACTGATTTCGTAAATGAATGAATGAATGTGTGAGAGTTTATGCAAGAGTTTGTCTGGCAGTGTTAGCTGACTGAGCTGCCCTGCTCTGAGAGGCACGTCGAGAAGAGGGGTCTTTAGAGTGACAGCAGTGAGTTGGGAAATAGAAAAAAGTTGACCCATTTGAAGGAAGTCGGAGAACTGTTTTTCAAAAGGCCTGGCACAAAACGCCTCAATGAAGTAATAATGGTAGTAACTGCTGAGGTGAAATGACTGCACTGGCTGGCTGACTGTGGACGATATGAAAGGGGTGAAGTAGAGTGAATGGAAAGGAGTAAAGGTTTTATACAAATATGCGCGCATCATCAAATACAAATATAAATCGTTATGTGTAATAGAATAATAAAGAGGTGAAGGAGGGTCTTCTCTTCCTTAAACATCTGATCAGAATAAATACAATAGAATTTGTTTAATAAAGTTGTTTTTTAAAAAAGAGGTGTTTTCAGGAAGTGAGAGGGAATGAGTGCAAGTAGCCTGGTTGCTGCTGCTGATCAAGTGTGTCAGTGGGTCGCTTTGGATGTTTGAGCGACCATTTTGTTTCGGTTGGCCAGATAGAAATGTATAAATAACATGTATGTCATATAGTCATCAGAGTCAATAGGTAGAATATAATATATAAATACTCCATATATAAATATAAATATATTAATATGAAAATAGTTCAATAAGAGGGAGAGAGAGACGGGGAAGCGAGGAGGGAAACGCATTGATGGTGACCTCACAAGTGCTCTGATGCTGGCCCAGTCTCAATGTTTTTGGGTTGTGTTTTGCTTAGTAGAATCTCAGATTGGCTGTTGCTGCTGCCGTCGCTGTCGCTGATGATGCCCAATGCTTTTCAGGTGGAATGTCGGTGCGTGAATGTGTGTATGTGAGTGAGTGAGTGTGGTACAGCAGTGAGTGTTTGGTTCATGCCACCGAGCACTAAGGCCAAGCAGGCATTTTCCCATCTCCTTTTTTCATTCTTTTTTTGCTCAATAGAACCAAAGTGTGTACTAAATTCATACTCCAAATGGAATGAGTATGCATGAATGCAATAATGCCGCAGATACACCGGCGGGGAGAAAATGAGAAAAGTGCATTCTGCATTAGCTTTTTCTTCAAATCATCCTTCCTCCCTCTATCATGCTTGACAGTGCGTATATTGCATCGAGTAATACTGGTGACTGTATTGCAGCATCAGCTCGGAGAATGTCAATATTTGCTTGGGATTCCAGTGAGAAAGTGCATTTGAAATGCCCTCTTTAATTGCCTAATAGATGCCTTGAGAAGGGCGCCAGAGTCAGGCCGTTGAGCACTCGAATGTGTTTGTCAGTGCTGAGGGTAGAGAAAATTGCAAAAAGAAGATACTGTCATGTTGCAAAGATGGCAAGGCAGTTGCCAGCGGCAAAATGCTGTTTGTGGCCAAAGAGAGAAGGTGGGTCGAACCAAGAAAACAAGAACTGCTTGGCACCAGTGCTTTAGTAGAATGATAAAATGTGTAGAATGTTTAGCAAAAATAAACTCTCAATTTAGAAGGGTTTGGAAGAGAGATATAGCGAAATGAGATAAAATGTATATGAATGTGTAAATATTGTGCGTTTTCTGGTTTTGTTCAGTGTCCACTGTCACTGTTGATCCTGTTTATTTGACACACTGCACTCTTAGAAACTTTTCACTTTGTAACTAGATATTTCAAATGATTAGCACCAAAGTGGTCAGAGCCTGTGATCAACAGCGAGAGTAAGTCACTAAAAACGTTGATAATATTATGCACTCAAAAGGAAAAACATTTATCACTTTGGCACGCTTTATGGTAGTAGTAGACAAGCAGAAGATGTTAGCTGTGAGTAGAATGTGTAAAGTGTGTGTGTAGAGAATGATAATGCAAATGAGGAGTTGTGTTGTAATTTGACTAATTAAAGAGCAGTGGCAGAGACACACTTATAGAGTGCCTAAACTGCCTGGACTGCCGTTGGAATGCTGAGATCAGTTGAAAGCTGAAGAGTGGGAGGGTGAATATGACAGGGCGCGGCTGAGTTGGGCGGATCAGCTGTGGGGGAGGAGGTGGTGCGGGCAACTGAAGACAGACTAGAGGAACCAAGGAAAACCAGGCAAAAACACAGCAGCTACTGTTGGTAATCATTGGGAACAATGGCGACAAAGAAAAATGAAACGCTACAAAACTGGCGGCAAAAACAAGATCAGAACGCGCAAAAGAAATAAAATGAAAAAGACAAAATAAAAAGTGTGTGGTTAAAATGTGGCGTAAAATCAAACGGTAGCTTTTAATGTAATACGGATAAAGTCAGTAGTTATTAAGTATAAAAAATTGTTTGGTGATGGGTGATGCAGTGGGAAAGAGGGAGAAGGTAAAAAGTGAAGGAAAGCAAAAGAGCGAGAAGCATCAGCATGGGAGAAGCATCAGTAGCAGCAGAAACAGCCGAACAGATAGGTAGAGTAGTGGATAGGGTAGAGAGGTAATAAGTAATAAGTGGCAAAGTAATGTCAATAATAAGGTAATAAATAAATGAAATGATCGGCACTAAATAATAAATGAGAAAGAGAGAGAGAGAGAGAGAAAATGCAGCAGTGCAACAGAATCAATTAAAGCTGAGAGAGGAGGCAAGCACAAGCGCAAGAAAACGGGGTTCCACCACAAGTGCTGACACACAATCCTGAAGATGGTGTAGGCGCTGGTGCCAATGGTGCAAATGGCACCAACACTGCCGCCTAACTGTTTCAACTGCTGTGTGGGAGAGCTACCTACTACTGAAAGGAAACGCTATGGAGCTGCTAATCTACAGTGAATGGAAAGGAAGAAAAGCCAACGACAGGGGCAGCCAGAAGAAGCCACGATCGGTGCCGCCAGAACTGAGGAGACTGGAATCGTCAAAGCAATAAATAGATTGGCCATGTGTGTTGTCTGCTGAGTGTGGAGTGTGGCGTAGTGTATGCAGTGGGACTAATGCTTCAAGCTGACTAGCTGGGTGCATTCTCCTGGTATCACCTCATTGAAATGCTCACTCTTTCGGGTGCATCGAGCGATATGGATGTGAGTGTTGATGCATTATTCATTATGAGAGAGAGCTAGGGAGCTGCTTTGCCTGCTTGCCACTGGCTGCAAACGCCAGAGCCTACCTTCTTGGCCGCTGGAGAAAAAGAAAAGAGAGAGAGAGGGCACTTGGAAGTAGACAGGAGACGGAGAATGAATAAAAAAGTGTGTCTGCTGTGTGAATGTTTGTGTGTTTGTGTTCAAGCAATGAATGTAGAAAATACTTGCAAAAANAATAAAAAAAGTGTGTCTGCTGTGTGAATGTGTTTGTGTGTTTGTGTTCAAGCAATGAATGTAGAAAATACTTGCAAAAAGAGAGAACAACGTGCCAACAGTGTCTCGGGTATAGCCGGCGACGGTGGCAATGACTGAGGAAGCGGCGGCAGCAGCAGCGGCACTTAAACCGACGTTCATAGAGCGGTGAGCGGAAACAGTGGAGAGACAGTGAAAGCTTTGGTCAGTGCGGCCGGTGACTAATTGCCGACGTGATGCTTAGGTGAGTGTGTGTGTTTGGGTGTTTTTGTGTTTTTGTGTTTTTTTGTACACTGGTGCAACTGTGTCAACAAGAAAGATTGAATGTATGTGTGTGTGTGGAGGATGTGTGAGGATCACAAGACGATTTGGCGCATCGCTGGGGCTGAACACAGTAGAACGATGACAGCGAACCTGGTCAGTGGAGGCGAGGCGAGTAGTGGAGGGGGAATAGCGAGCAGGGCACGTCCACTGAGTGGGCAACATCCTCGACAACAGCAGCAACAGCAGTACAGCTCAGCCACTGCAATATTTAGTTTGGGTGTGTGTGTGTTTTTGATATGTGTACGGTAGTATGCACAGTGGTCCACTTTGTCTTCTCATTCGGTGCACAGGTTCGGTTTGCTCAAGTGGAGAAAATTAGATAGAGCGGGAGCAGAAAATCAGTGGCGCGAGAGCAAAGTGTAGAGGCAGCAAATTAGATTCAATTAAAATCGCAAGTGCAGCACTGAGGGAAAGGGAAAGTGAGCCCAGGCTGAATTCAAACGTCAAGCGGGTGGTGGTGTTGTTGAAGAAGAAGAAGTGCCGCTGTCTAACTGTACACGGCGTGCACCTCTCTTCCTTTCGCTGAGTAACGATCGGCGTAGAAAAAGCGGATTCGAATGGTCACCGAGCTGGAAATAAGAGAAAAAAATCAAAGCTGCGACATTTAGAGTAGAGCTGCTGTTGCTGATGCTGCTGCTTTTTCTGTGCTATCTCTCGCACTCAATCTGGAGCGGTAGTGTTAGTTTCTTGCTTTGGAAAGAGAGCCCAAGTGTAAGTGAAGTGTGTGGTGAGGTGGTGTGTGTGTGTAGATTGGATTCAGCTGGCTTGCATTGCTCGCTAATTAAGATAACTTAAAGCTAGGAAAGGAAAGTAGTAGAGTAGAAAGAGGAAGAAAGAAAGAAAGAAGAGTTGACACGGTGACTAGCCTAGTGATTAGTGGTAGTGGTGACTGTAGAAGTGGTAAAAGTGCAAGACGGAAAGAAAGAAGGAGATAGAAAAGAGAATCAGTGCAGGCAACGAAGGTGTTTGTTGCTTGTTAGCAGTGTTGCCAATGTGAATTGAAGCAAACGGAAACGGAGCAGAATGCAGTCTCTGAGTGTGTCGTTGTCGGTGGGCTCAGTAGTGTCAGGGAGGTGGTGAAAGTAGTGGAAAACGTATTACTGCTTTTTTTGTCAGTCAGCTCGACGAGTGATGCGGAAGAGGATGATGATGATGATGACGAGAAGGAGTTTCACTGACGACTACGACTAGAGCAGTTTCTTCCACAATGGCACCACTTCTTAGCTAGTCTTGCACTTGCTGGTCTTGAAGGACACCTGCAGCACTCGATTGCCCAGTGTGTACCCGTTCAGACTTTGAATGGCCACCAGCGCCTCGTCGTAATTGGTCATCGTCACAAAGCCAAAGCCCTTGCACTTGTTTGACTGCAGGTCGCGGATCACCTTCACTGACTGGACGGCGCCGAAGGGGCCAAATAGCTGCCAGAGCAGCGACTCCTCAGTGTCCGGGGCGAGGTTGTAGACAAAGATGCACCAGCCGGCGCCGCCGTTCAGCGTCGCATTTGCCGCAATCAGCGGATTGGCGAGAATGTCGCCCGCCAGTGGAGAATATCTAGAGAAAGATAGTGAACAAAAAAATAATGAAAAAGGGGGCTCAAATGAGGTGCGGGGTAAAGCAGAAAGGACACACTGATTGTGATAGAGAGCAAATTAAACTGAAAAATAAATAAAAGACAACAACAGTAACAGAATACGGGTACGAAAACGACAAAAACAAGGAAACAAACAAAAGTAATAATAAGAAAAAAATAATGGCAATGAAACGAAAAAAATGATAATGGCAATAACAATNTGTGATAGAGAGCAAATTAAACTGAAAAATAAATAAAAGACAACAACAGTAACAGAATACGGGTACGAAAACGACAAAAACAAGGAAACAAACAAAAGTAATAATAAGAAAAAAATAATGGCAATGAAACGAAAAAAATGATAATGGCAATAACAATAAAATAGAAAAAAGTTAATAAAACCAAACCAAGCAGTTGCACAAGGCACACGACTGAAAAAAAGATGGTATAAGACAGTAGCAGTGAAAATGAAGTTGGCAGAAAATCACTTCAGCACAAAATGAAAAATGAAAGATTAGAAAAAGCTTGTGAAACCAAAAATTGTAACGAACTCAAACACTGAAACGGAAGAAAATGAGAATGAAAAGTTCTAATGTTTTTTTCTACAGAGAAAAAAGTAAAGTAAACAACAATGCAGTGGTGTGCATTCGCCTCGATCGCTTTGTTTGTTTGTTTGTTTCAAGTTTTATAGGCTGTCGAATCCGACACACTCGTACCTGGAGACTGGCGAAGAAAGTGGTGGATGTAAGTACCTGAAGCGATTGGCCGCGTGGTGAATGGGCCCGGGGAAGCCGCGTCGCTGCGGGGACAGGTAGGCGGCCAACGCCGGCGCCAAGGCCTT